ACATTTACAATGGGGAAAAAAAAAGATTCTATCTCTGTTGCTTGTGGTGGTGCATGGCACTCAGGAACCTGAGGTGGGAAGATTGTTGTGAACCCAAGACTAGCCTAGGCTATTATAGTGCAGCCTGTAATATAGAGCACTATAAAGTGAGAACTTGTCTCAAAAAACAGCATGAAACAAAAAAAGTTATCTCTTTTATAGCCTAGACCCTTAGTTAACATCACAGTTTTTTAGTGTTTTCATTAATTGTCAGTATGTAGTCACTTGAGCATCTGCTGCATGCAGGCACTATCCTGGGGACAAAGCAGGAAGGGTCTTTGTCTTCATGACACAGTAATTAAACAAAATTTTAAATAAAATTTTGACATAACTGCCAGTGATTAAGGCTCTGGAGGACCCAGAATCTAGAACAGGGGAGTGTGACTGGGCAGATGGCAGCTGCTTACCATTCGAGGTAGAATGATCTGAAACCACTTAAACAGAGGAATCAGCCACAGAGAAAGCCAGGTGCAGAGGGAGCAGTACTCGGAAAGCTTCAGTAGGTGTATTTAGTGAAACTTTAGCTTGTATTCCTTATGATTTCTATGAGAGAGCTAAATTTTGTACTCTTACCTAAGTGAAAAGAAGTAATATTCTAAGCCAGAGAAATTGCTAGAAATCATGGTTTATACAACATTTCCTTTAGTTGAACCTAGTATATCTTTGCTTTATTTACACTGGTAACATTAATTAGTTGTCAGATGAAGAATTGTGATTTTTCAGTTTCCTATTTTAACCTTAATCTTCATGCTTACATACAGTTTTAAGTTAGCTATTCTGTAGTCGTCCCTCAGGGTTCTTGGAAAGTTGGTTCCAGGACCCTCTTCCTACCATTAGTTATTTCTCAAGTCCTGTGTGTAAAATGACATAATATTTGCATGTAGTCTGTGAGCGTTCTTCCATATGCATGTGTTAAATCATCTCCACACTACTTACAATATCTAATATGAGTACTATGTAAATAGTTGTTATACTGTTTATTTAGGGAATGGTAACAAAACTATGTAAATATTCAGTACAAATGCACTTTTCCCCCCAAATATGTTAGATCCAAGATTACTAAATGTATAGGTACAGAAACTGAAGATATGGAGGACCTACTGTTCCTAATTAATATACACTAAAAGTAGACCTAGATAAAAAGGAATAGGTGTAGACATTCAGAGAGTACTATCCTAATAGCAACCTAAATAAAAATATGCTCAGATAAATCACGGCAACACCTGTGAAGTGCTCTAGGAACTCGGATATAACTCCAGAGTAGCTTTCTTAGCATTAAGACTACAGTTGTGGGGCCGGGGGAGATGGCTCAGTGGAATAAGCGCTTCCCTGGCAAGTGCAAGG